CAGCCCACCTCAACAACCTCAAGGCCAGGGTCCTAGACCTAGCTTTGCCAGACCTCGCCGACAACAGCCTCAGGGGGCCCACGACGCAGTAGCCGCAGACCGCAAGATCTGGGGCACCATAGGATCCCTAGTTTCCTCTGGCTGGAGCCTAGACGAAGCCCTCTATGAGATCACATCCATCCGTAGTGACCTTTCCAATCTGCTGCAGCCCAGACCTCGGAATGCCTTACCTTCCCACGCCCCCTCCGCCTAAGCGTACTAGGACTACACCTTTTACGCCGCCTAAAAATCCCGAGGGGAAAGGCAAGGGAGGCAAGCAGGGGAAAGGTTTAGCCAACAAGGCCAAATCCGAAGACTGGCCGTCAAATTGGGTCTACAAGGCCCATGGCAAAGTCCTATGCAAGCGCTACCAACGCAACTTGTGCACGGTGGCCAACTGCAAATTTGCCCACCTCTGCGCCGTTCGAGGGTGTGGGAAGGAGCACTGTGCCATCAACCATGACGGCAAGACCTCGTGACTAGCCTCTCCTACGATCTCGCCTAATCCGGCCACGGGGACTCCGGGGGCCGCATCTGCCCCACCGTCCCGTCCTCAGCCATGTCCTCCGCTGGTCGCTGGCCAGGAGGATCGCCAACATCAGATCCCCCAACCGGAGCCTCATGGGCCAAGCTGCCCTCCCAAAATACAGCGGGGGCAGCCCATTCCCAGCAGGACCCACCTAAGGTTCCTAGGATAGCCTCCTTTAAACGGAAATTCGCCAACAGAGTCTGGACCTCCCCAGCCTATAAGCAAGCTAGGTTGCAGGCGAGGTTTGAGCCCCCCAGGTACTGCTCCTGGATACCGGGGGGGACTTAGGAGCCAGGTGCAAAGCCCTCGCCAACCGAGAGGCCATCCCCTATCTTGAACCAGACCATCAGCCTTCAGAACGAGAGTCAGGACTCATTTTGCAATGCCTCTGGGCCCGATCGATAATTGCGGTCATAGCAGCCCTGCCGACGATCGCTCCGGATACGGAGACGGCGATTGCCATTCTACAAGCCACCAAGGCCTCCACAGGACGGTTTTGACCATACCCAGGGACCATGTCTTCCTACAGTCCCAGGAACTAGCGGCTTGCCTACATGATTCCGCATTTCACATGTGCCCCAGTCTGCGACCGGGGGAAGTGGTGCTGGCTTCCACCAAACTGCCTACGTGGCCATGCCTAGACTCTCAATTATTGGCTCTCGAAGTTTTGGGGAGAGTCTGTAACTTGCCACTTCGGCAGGGCAGCCTATCGGAGTTGTCATACGCCTCCCTGCTTAGGGCCTCCGGGCCTTTTGTCACCCACCGTCCACCGATATGCGACGGTGCAGGAGCACCAAGCTCACCATAGCCTACCGCACCAGTCAGGTCTAAGCAAGGCCTCACAAGCTTGGCTGACCTGGGCTCACAAGACTGATCTTGACAGCCACACCTACTACGGCACAGACGCCTCAGGAGGACCCCGAGGTGATGACCCTCGCTTGAGGGTTGTTTCATGGGCAGTCGTAGCTCCCAGATGGCAGCCGGGAGCTCAGCAGCATGATTACGCCAAGATAGGTGTAATGACCGGTTCCCTTCAAATCGGTGCAACAGTGAATGATGGAGAATCCGTCGCCCTGGACCAGCTTGCCAGCTGGATCCGAGGCCCTGTTCGTGTCGCTGTGGACAGCAAAATTGCTATCAAAAGAGCAAGAGTCGCGAATATTGAAGTTAAGCTGCCAGGGCTGTGGTCCACCCCACAAGAACAGCGAGATCTTCTTCAGGTCACCTGGACAAAGAGTCACTTGTCCCAGGAGCAACATCAACAGCGCTTTGGGCCGGAGCAGGCCTGGGCATGGGCTGCCAACTTGGAGGCGGACACAGAATGCAGCACCAAGAGTCAGGATGTTTTCTCCCAGGCCCAGGCGACAGTGATGGCAAACATTGATAAAGCGGCAAGAGCTACTTGCAGCTGGCTGGGTAGGAGATGCTCCCACATCCTCGCCAACGACCCGGTCCCCAAGGCCAAGGACCTCAAGTTTGAGGCAACCCCAGTTGCTTCTAGACCAGAGAAGAAGCAGGGCCCCAATAAGAGGCAGTTGCTTTTGGCAGCCACGGAGGAGAGCAACCCAGTCACTGGGCATAAGTGGATCGTGACGGCAAAAGCCAAAAACCTGTGCATCAAGTGGACCCGAGCCCACTTGTGGATTTTGTGTTGCAGCATCCTTGCAAGCACAGGCCTGCCGTTCCAGCACCTGCAGCCAACATAGATTCGTCCCATTGTGTTTTAAATCTGGGTCACCTGTGGAGCTGCTCCAGGTGCAAGGCGAACTACTCTGTTAGGGCGCCTGCCAAAGGTCGATTGGCAGCCAAATGCAAAGGCAGTCTTGCAAAAAAGGGACACAATGAACCAGATGCTGTAGTCTCTGCCTCTTCAGGTTTTGCTGCTTTGTTTTCCAAGGGGAAGGTCAAGGGTGAAGGTGCTGCACCTCCTGTTCCAAGCCTTTCAGGCCCTCCCGAAGCTGCTGAGCCACGCCCTCAAGGGGTTGTGTTTGAGGTTCAGGTGAACTCTGTTGTTGAGGCTCGAGGTTCTCAGCCCGAAGAATCCCCCTCCCAACAGTACTCTAAAGCAACTTGTGAGCTTTCTGTTGTGCGAAACAGGAACCCCTCTCCTGCCCCCTGTCGTGCACAATGCAGCCCCCAGGAGAACGCAGTGGGAGATTTGGTGACCTCTCCAACCGCAGACAAGGCGGCTCGAGCTCCTCAGCCAAAAGCAAGAGCAAACAACACGAGCAAGAGTTCTTCCAGTGTGCCGAAAACCAAGCCCAAGCCCAAAGGTACTGCGAAAACTCAGCCTGGAACTCAGAGCGTTTTGCACTTCTTCAAACCCAAGCCCCACTAGGCTGTTGCTGTGCCCGCCTCGTCCTTACTGCCATGCGAGGAGGTAAAGGAAAAGGCAAAAACAAGAGCAAGCGCAGTGCAGAGGAAGTCAGACATGCTCAAGAAATCAACAGGCAAAGGGAGGATGATTCTCTTCCCAGAAAGAGTACAGGCAGTGTGGCTCGTGCTAAGGCACGGTCTGCTGCTTTTCATGCAGCAAAAGCGGCATCAGTGTCGGCAGGTTCCCCATCGGAGAACCTGCTGTAAAGCGGCGAGAACGAGGCAATGCGGCCCTAGCTGCTGGAGAAGGCATCCGCCTAGTACCAAGGGATGAGTTTCTCCCCCGAAATCCAGAACCCTCCAGCAATCCTCCAAGCAGTGAAGCAGTACCCCAGCCAGACGAAGGAGGCGAGCTTCTCCCTCCTGCTAGGCCAGCCCAAAGGAATAAAGACACAGGTCGTAACAAGCAAAGTCCAGGGAATCAGGCAAGAGGTGAGCTCCTCCCTCAGCCAAAGGCAAACCCGGTACAGAGCAGTGCAAGCACATCGAGGCAGCTCCTGCCTCAAGATGCTGCTGAGCTGGAGACCGAAGCTTGCGCGGACTCCAGCAACCCGAGCAATGAGGCCCCATGGCAACGGCGTGTCAAGCTTAGGTCTAGCCCAAGCAGTGGCATCGCTTCGCAGCAGGTGGCAGTCTTGCATGGGCGAGCTTCTTTCAGAGGACTGCCCCGGGACATCCTAAGCTCATTGCCGACAGAGCTTTCGTCGGAATGGGACAATGGGCCTAAGGGCATCACCCTGAGGTTTATAGCCCGGGGTGGTGATAAACTTGCCTTTGAAGCAGAGGGAATGGTGCTGAAAGTGAGCAACATTTCGCAACAGCCCGAGGTTCATTTCTCCAAGCTGTTGCCGTTGCTCACTGCTACCACTCACTGGCAGGAGCAAGTCCAAGTGCAGCTCCATCAACCCGATGGAGAGGTTTTCCATAACCACGAGCTCTACCTCACCTGCCAAGATAAAGTGGTTTTGGCGGCCGAGCTCCTCGCCGCGAGGGGGGAGACGTTTTCATTTAAGTTTCTAGCTTACGTGGGATGTCTGCTCACCTACGTGGCATCCATGGGGATCTCAGTGAAGGACACTGGCGCCTCCAACATAGGTGTCAGTGTCAAGACAGCTTCGCACTCTCACCCAGAAGCTGTCTTCTTTGATACCTTGTCATGGACGGTATCCAAACGCCCCAGCTATAAGTGGACGGGATGGATGGACTGCGCTGCAAAGTACTGTCCATTGCACTCGCAGTGGCTAAAGCAAGCAGTACTGGGGGCAAACTCCAACCCTGCCTTGGCCTTCTCCAAGCTCTTCTCTGAGTGTCAAGCTTATGCAGAAAGGCTGGAGGCTCAAGGTGCACTCAAAGGAGGAGTAATGACAGAGGCCAGTCTGCCAAGCCTCTAGGCAAGGAGATGAGATTCTCTCTCCTAGTGCTTTGCAGCCCTCAATCGCAGTATCTACCAGCTTTAGGAAAATCAGCAGGGTGAGTTTCTCCCCTGGAAAAACCCAAACCCTGGCAAAACTGGCCAAAGTTTCCCAAGCCTGGTATGGCCAGGGAGGAGAGTCTCCAGATCCTCTGAGAGCTCCTTCCCCCAGTGCACTACATGGAGTGAGCTTCTCACGCCTCAGGATGTGCAGCGACCAGGCAGCTCAGTGCAACCCGTGCCCACGGAAAGGGCTTGCAACTGGGGTGAGGTTCTCCCCCAGTGTAGCTTTCCTCCTTTTTTGGGCACGCGGGTTTTCCAAAGGGCCGAGGTGCTCGCCCTTCCCGAATGCCTTAATTCAGTTTCACCCACCCGTTGAGCCTCTTGCTCCGGAAGGGCCTAATGGCCGCGAACTCAGCTTCGCCCGAAGGAAAATCTGAGCTGGTAGTGTCACAGGAAGCGATGTGAACATCAAACAGTTTTCGTGGACTGCGTGAAGTTTTCACAACAGCTGGAAAGTTTTCGTGGACTGCGTGAAGTTTTCACAACAGCTGGAAAGTTTTCGCAGACTACGTGAAGTTTTCACAACAGCTGAGAAGTTTTCGCGGACCACGTGCAGTTTTCACAACAGCTGCAAGTTTTCGCTGACTGCGAGATGCATGACGATGCATCTCTTGCAAGGCTTGGAGTTTTCGGATATGCCTGAGCAGCTGTGAGTGCGTGAGTGCAGTCTTCTTGTGCATGTAGTGTAGCACACTTGTGTGC